GACGAAAAGGATTTTAATCTTAATTATTTTAATCTTAAATGTTGAATGTCACTGGATCATCATCACTGTCCTTTGACCCTCTTGCAGCGACAAGAAAAAACTGGGAAAAAGTGACCTCAGGGCGGTCCACATTGATGGAGGGATCATGGTCCCAAAGACTCCAGGGCTGTAGATCCAGGACCCAGGTTAGATTGGTGATCTGGCATGAATGATATATCATAATTTACTTTTTATAAACTTAATGTTGTCATTTGATCTGCGGTGACTTTCAAATCACAAAAACTGCAACTATGTTATGAAATCCATGTATTAGTTTCTATCTCTCAAGATGTCACATGCATGTGTTTTAGCCTCTTTCACATCTTTGGATCGTTTTTTTAAAAGATACAAGTTTAAAAACAAGGACCACCCTCACTCAGCCAATCAGCTCGCAGCCCAAAGAGTCAAATCAAGACACACATGATGAAGGTTTTACTTTTTTCTTGGGACATATTACAGATGTGATTTATGGTGCAAAAGGGTGCCCCAGCTTTAATGAGTAGCGATCCTAATAAGTCAAATTAGTTGTTATTGGTTTAGTCAAAAAAATACAGCCTGCAAGACTCTTTTTTGTGGTTTCTGAAGTATGATTAACCCCCTTTTTTTCCTAAATCTTAACTTCTTTGGCTATAACTAAAATGGGATAAGAGATAGAGGCTTTGTGTAAACAAGAGAAATATTAAGGATGGCCCAAAGTGTATAGGGATTCAATGTACCCATCTAATTAGCATATTATGACATCATAGGGTAGTGGCAATCATGGATTTGAAAATTTTCATGAAAACACACAATCAGAACTCACAGGGAAAGAGTAATGAAGTGCATATAGCCTGCCCAGACACCCTGTTTGACACAATTGGCCATTTTACAACAGTACCGCATCTTGTTGACTTTAAGTCAACCGTGGCGCTTGCAGCATTGATGTTGACATGGCTACCGTGGCATGTTATACCTCATTATAAGGCTTATGTTCTCAAGAAAACTACGGCGTCATGTAACGTTAACTCAACACATAAGAAGTAGTTAAATAGGCCAATAAATATATCCACCTATGTAACATTTGCCCTAAGAAAAGCACTTTTAAACTTACGGCCCCAAGTCCAGCTTGGTCTAGTTGCTTTATTTGCCGGTAAAAACATATCAGAATCTTTATTTAAACCAGAGGAAATGGAAAATGACATTACATTTAAATTCCATGACTTGTGCCTGTCGATATTAGAAGAAGAAGAAGAAGGTCCTTTATTCGTCCCACAATAGCTAACATCACTTCGGCGCTCCTTATAGGCATAACGGGTTAATTATCTTGCCCAAGGACACAACAACAGCAGACATCAGACATAAGAAATCATCAATACCTTCAGATTTTAACATGAACATTCTCCTTCTATAAAATCTTTCCAAATTGTGCATGTAAATATTTGTTCATACACTACATTTATAGCAGGCTGCAGAACATTCGCCTAAACACCATTTTTTATCAGACAAGCATCAAAACTCCCACAATGCACCCACCAATACCATTCTCTAAAAGTATTGAATTGAATTTCTCTAATTTATCATTTGAGCAAACTCACGTAGAGACCTGACTTGTATTTTGATCAAGATGACATTCGGTGATTGAGTCCATGGTCTTTAACACCCTTGCTAACACACTGGTGCGACCCCGTACGCTTTATAACGTACTCCTCAAAACAGCCAATGACACGGAGCGAACAGGAAGCCAAGTCCTGAGCGGCACAAGGACAAGACCAACTTTCTGAAACATCCTCGGGTCATAAATCTCGCTCTGGGCCTTGAAAACGTAAAACTCACTTTTCCATCGCAAAAAAAGCCACACACACGTCCTTCATTATGGATTTATTAATTTATTTTTTTCACTTTTTGTCTCACTGCTCCATTTCGCCCACTCTGAGCTGCAGAGAATGTGGCCTTGTAGAATTATATAATTGAAAAGTATGCAAACTTTCAGTATTTTTGTCTTTTTGTGCTGGTGTAAAATATATAACTTTGATTTCGAGGCCTATGTCCAAAACTTTTTTTGAAACAAGACCATTTCAACATTGATTTTTTCATTTTCAATTTTATTCTTACTTTTTTTTTTTTATGTCCATATTATGGTAATTTTTTGATTAAAATTATAATAAAAAAATTGAAATATTTTTCTTTTGTTATGTCTAAAATTGAGAAAAATAGTGATAGAAAAAATTCCATGGAGGGTGAGAAAACCAGTTTGATTTTCATGACCGATGGGGATGTCACTGGGGATGCCTGGCCTTATCCATCCGTACACTCTGCTCAATCATCATTTCACTGCATGTAACGTCTGGGTCTGGTTCCTATGTTAGCGATTACAATCGCTTGAATTTCGACTGACCAACCAGCGACCACGGAAGGCAGGTGTTGTAGTTAGTTGTGGGTGACGTCAAGAGTTTGCGTTGAACGGGCAGGTTGTAGTTTGGCAATGGCAAAAAATGCGATAGTAAAGTAATCTGGTCTGGTTCTATCAATAAATTGAGGCCGGGGCAAGAGGAATGTTTAGCAAATGTAATCACTAGAATAAATTGTGGCGCTACTCCCCACGGGCTTCGTTAGCGGCAAAGGAGATGGCTAAAGCTAGGCTTAATGCTAAATACTAACGACAGACTCGGGCGCATTACATACGTCACGGTAAACTCAGATCCAATTGTTTCAATCTGCAAAAGGAGTTAACCCCTCCCACCTGTAAACGGAGCTCAATGGAGCACCTCCAGAACTTAGTACGAAATGTAATTTGTACTATGGTGTGGTAGATGCTAGATGTCACTCGACCTCTCTATTATTTTTAATTATTCATTTACTAAAATATATATTATTATCAATATTAGTCTGCCTCTTTTAACCAGTGTGTTCATTTTAACTTCTTCTTTTGGAATTAAAAAAATCTATTGTTGCCCTTGTAAACACAGCTGGATGAGGTTTGTTTGCAAGTTTTTTTGGACATTATTGTGTGCAAAAAAAAAACAAAAAAGTGGACATATTTATTATAGCAGGTACCAAATATTCTTGTGTTTTTTTCGCATGCCGTTGCCCGGGGATACCAGGGAGGGTTCACTTTACATGCGCTCTTCTTATTTATCATTTATTTGAAGTCATACTGTAACTTTAATGCCTTAAAAGTACCACCAGTTCTTTCACCCGTTAAAAACATTCCCAATGTTAGAAAAGGGACAGTGACGGGAACAGTCTTTTCCTGAAAAGATTAAGATTACGAGTTTAAGATTACCTGTGCTCTTCTTCTGAAAAAAAAAAGTCTTATTTGTTGAATGCGTTTAAAGCTGTGGCACCTTATCCACAAAAAATGCATTTCTCATATAATCCATCTAACTTTGGTCATTACTTGCTCTCAAAATCTAGTTTCTACCACTTAATTTATGACATGCCTGCAGTTTTTGCCTCTGTCACATCTTTAGATCTGTGTTTTTATAGAGAAAAGTGAGAACGAGAGGCCCACCCTCACTCAGCCAATCAGCTTTCAGCCCAAAGACTCAAGTAGTGACTCACAGGGTTCTTTTATTACGCACAAGATAACAAAAAAGATTTCTAAACATAAGAATTAAAATTGTTGCCATATTTTTTATCTGCAACCCTTATATAAAAAAACAAATTATATTACTTATGAGACAGAAAGGTTATGTACCTACAGGCATGGCAAGGCAAGTTTATATGTATGGCACAATTCATACACATGGCAGCTATAATAAATAATAATAATGCATCGGTTATTTGTAGAACTTTTTTGGACACTCAAAGACAATTCACATGTTATTATTCTTTCACTCCATACACGGTGGTGATAAACTACTATTGTAGCCACAGCTGCCCTGGGGCAAACTGACAGAAGCGAGGCAACCAGTATGTGCCATCGGCCCCTCCGACCCCCACCAACCATTCACACACACACCAGACTCATTCTTGGCAATGGGCGTGAAGTGTCTTGTCTAAGGACACAACGGCAGTTTGGCACTTTACAGCCGCAGCCGCCCCACTGTGGTATCAGGTGTTCCCAGAGGTTAAGTGTCCAATCTTCAGGCTCAAAGGTCAATGCTCTACCAACTGAGCTACTGTCGCCCCAACTCAAACTAAACAAGATAAGAACAATCACACAAGGCATTAAAATAAATGATCACATTACATTAAATATAAAATCCCTCAGTTGTATCCACAGCTAAACAAAACTGTTTAAACCAGGATTTGAACGGTGTCAGAGATGAAGCCTGTCTCACATTTTCAGGAAGATTAATCTAAATTGCAGCTGCATGAATCTGAAATGCTGCCTCCCTATGTTTTTTTCTGATTCTAAGCATCAGCAGGAGTCCCGTCCCTGTGCTCCTCATTCTTCATATTATTAAGTTTAACATTAATACTCTTGTAAAGTGCTAGATTTCCTTGTATTTAATTTGTGCTATATATGCAACAACATTATTCTAGCCAGTGAGTAGTGCAAAGTCCATAAATCCAATCTACAAAGCCCTTGGTCTGATGGGTTTTTTCTTCCTGGATCCCATTTTATGTACGTTTGACCTTTTCCGAAGATACAATATTGTTTTTGAATTTGAATAACTGCTGTAGCCACCTCTCTGGGACCGACCCACTGAAAGACCAGACACGTGTTTTCCATGTTTTTTTTTTTTTCACCCACCGTTTTGCCCACACGTTTACGAGAACATTTACAAGCCTGCTGATATATCACCCTCGAATCGCCTGTTGCTTCTCGCCTTTCTCCTCTCCGCCCACCGAGGCTCTATCGCTGTCAGATAAAACACGGATTTACGCGCCGTTTCAACCGTCAAACCCGCGCTTACGACCTCCTTCCCCGCACCTGCGCTGTCAGTAAGAATAAAACCTAGAAGGAAGAAGTTTATCAGGATCCGGGAACATGATATTTTCCTCACTTTTAAGAGTTCCGAGTGTCAGGGTGATGGATGGTGGTTCGGGGGGCCTGGGTCTCCGGGGTGCGATATGTTGTCTGGCGCATCAAGTGTGGAGAGCGAATGAGCCGCACTGACAGGAGGGCAGCGGCCAGTACGTCTCAAGCGCTATAGTCATTACGGCGGGAAAATCCTAGCGGGTGTTGGAGCAAAACTGGGCTGACGCAGAAGGCGAAAGTCGGGGAAGTTGAAAGAATCGCGGCGGCGCATCTCTCGCAGATTTAATAACAAGAGAAAGACACCGGACCGAGTTTTTTTTTATGTTTAAAAAGTGCTCCCAGGGCCTGAGGGAGCTCATTATCTGGTGCGAGCGGAGACGGGTGGAGGCCGGGTGCCACTGTGCTGGACCGTGACGTCAGATATTGGGGGAATGCCCTGCTGGGACGGGGGCACGGGAGTCAGGGTTGGTTGGTGTGTTGTGGACTAAGTACGGCTTGTTTTGGAGACCACCCACTGAAACAGGCTTACAGTACATGCATCGGATATGAATCAGGTTTGTAAGTTTTGAAGGAGGCCTATACGCACAATCGACGTGGCTGAGCTTTTAAACCATGTCACAACAGATTATAAAAAAAAGAAAAAAACATAGAAATCCAGAAATATATATAAACATATAAACTGAAAACTTGTACCTGCATGTTCAAAGCCAAAGGTAAAGAGTTAACAACATCAAAAAGCCACTTTTTTACTCACATTTTGACTATTAATGGAAATGATTGCCAATTGTAAACAAGATATATCTGATGGGTATTTAAGCTCTGACTGTAAATTGAATTGAGTCATTTGGAATTCTGTAATTTTAGAAAGATCCTGTAAAAAGGGGTTTTACTTCTACCGACTCCTTTTTGAATTCTATTGTATTTTACGAGAAATAACAACATTGGTAATTACCAAAATCAGACCTGGAGTTGGTCATAGATCCATCCACGCTGATATTAAGAACCGCTGCCACAAACATGTAGCTCCGCCCCTCCTGTGTAAAAAAAAACTCCTGTCGCAGTCCTTTGTTAGGGTGATGCCACGGTACCACTTTTTTTATTATTTTTTTTAATTGTAATTATTTCAAATTTTGTAAGGCATTAAAGTTACAGTATGACTTCGAATAAATGATAAATAAGAAGAGCGCATGTAAAGTGAACCCTCCCTAGTATCCCCGGGCGCCATTGCCATTGGCACCTGGATCACCAATCTTCCACACACACATACCAGACTCAGGACAACAACAGTTTGGCACTTTACAGCCGCAGCAGCCCTGCTGAGGCATCTGATGTTCCCAGAGGTCTCCCATCACAGTACAAACCAGGCCCTACCCTGTTTAGCTTCAGAAGTTTGGTGGCATCTGGCTTTTATATGTAGTTATGGCCACAACAGGAGTGTGTCTTTGCCTTCAGACAGTGTTACACATTTAATTTTTCAACTTTTATTTTAGCAATTAAAAGCCTGTCTCTGCAGACCAGAGATGAGTGTATAGAAATGCAGGATCACCTCTGCCCCTTTCACCAAGGAGCATTGAGGAAGAAGAAACCGGCCAATCACGCTCACAAAAGCAGAGTGGGCGGAGAAATCTATTGTTGAATCTTGGGCAGAGAATGTTTTTTTTTGTCAATATGGCTGTTTTTTATCAGTCGTTATCAGATAACTTCATATTTATATTGGTTTTCACTTGAGGCTTCTGATCAAATCAGAGCTGCTTTGTGTTGGGTCACAATCACAAGCTCACAAACTTAAAACTAATTATTTTTCTTGTTTTAGTTTTATAAAAAATGAAGATAAATGGTGACAAAGGTAATATGAATAGCAAAATAAAAGTTAATACACACATGGCCAGTGTACATAAGGTCCATGACATACATTATACGCACATATTTGCAGGTGTAACTTTGAAAATTACACTCATTAAACATGAAGTGAGATATTTCAGTTGTTATGTTGATATTTGGCTCACAGCTGTGATACATTTGTTGACTTGAGCTCTATCCTCTCCTCTTCGAACTTTATCTGTCATCATTATGACTTCAGCTGTAGTCTGTTCATTGCTATTCACCTTCTGTCCCATTGTCTGTTTCATGGTATATTGATGGATCCCTGAATCTGGCTTCTTTCATCTGCACCTGTGGACTGTCCTCCCGTGGGCTGCACCTTGCCTGGGAGCCAGCTCGGTCCCGCACCGTGTGATCTCATTCTACAGCCCGAGGTCTGGATCTACAACCCAACGGACAAGTGAGGTTCTCACTTTTTCCTGTTTTTTGTTTTTGTTTTTCTTGTCATACCTTCTAAGGGTCTAAAGACATTTACTTACATTTATGAACATTGGTCCTCTGCCCCTATGGACCAATGGCTCAATGTGTTTTTATCATATCCGTAACTGATGGATTCTCTCATCTGTGTCGGCGAATTGACAACTTTGTAAAGAACTCAGAGATAACCGCTGGGAAAAATAAGTCATGTATCCATTACAACAAGCTGAATCTGGTACATTTATGAGCTCTCCAACATCATTTCACATCATTTTAAACATCTATAAATTCATTTTATGCAGACGTAAAATTTAACCCATCACTAAAGATTTAACTGCGCAGTTTTCAAATGTTAAGAAATTAATAATTCATATCTCCGTTGTCGCCCAATTTGATTTTAAATGGTACTTTCTGTTTTAAATACCAGCACTTTAATGTGACTTGATCTTATTGCTAATGCACTTTATACGGCTAACCTATACAATGACATATGGCTACCCAACAATGCTATTTCCGAACTTGCTTTTTTAATATCACAACCGAGCCAGCGGCCAAGAGGTCACCCCTGCGCTCTGATCCACCCTCTCATAAATAGGTCAGCAGCATAAACCAAATCCAATACCAATATTACTTTTTATTGATTTTGTTGTACCCGCGTCGAGACAGATAGGGCGTTCATAAACACAATATTAAAAGCACTGATTATGAGCGCGCGGCGGTGACTAATGGCTTCATCATGGTTGCCAATGGAAACATAACTCACGTGCCGACATATAGAATAACGTTAAAGGATTCCAAAGGATAAGATAGAGATAAGATTGCTTTATTTTTATCACAGAGGAGAAATTTACAAAAAGCCCACAAGCCAGTTCTCCCTGTTGTAAGTGTCTGACACTTCTTGCTGCATTAAAAACCCAAACAGGCTAAAGATTTTCTTAGATCTTCGCTGCAAAGCAATTATGCCAAAACGGCCAGGCTCCGTATTCAAGTGCTCGCGTTTACACGACAACGGAAATATGTAGTTCTAGCACTCGTCAGGTTGCAGTCTTGGAAGTGAACGCTACCAGCACGACATAACGCAACCCCCCAGCGGTAGATCCACTTCCAAAACATCTCCTCGGGCCGCCGCAAAGACGTGAAAGAATGCACCGACATTATTTCTTGCATTTAACAGTAGCCTGCGGAATAGGACACTGAAACTACGCTTTGCATGGTTTTGTTTGGACGATAAACGTGCTCGAAGCAGGACGTAGCTAGTAAGTTGTTAAAGTAGCAGTAAGTGTCAGACACTTTTACCACAGGGATAAACGGGCTTGTGGCTTTTGTAAATTTCTCCTCTGTGAGATAAATAAAGCATCTTATTTATCTTTTCTTTTTGTTCCTTTAACGTTGATTCTTCCTGAAGCAGAATTCACCATTGGATTTTTGTTCCACTTTTATGAAACTTGTACAGGGTTAGACCGTGGTGAGACCGGTTTAGTTTTACTCTACTGATGTGTTGTTGCAGTAGTTATCCTGTGCTGTGCAAAAGTTGTTGAAACAAGTATTAGAGCCCTTACTTCTATCCATACAGAAACTTTGCAGGCAATAAGTAATAAATGTGGGTAATGTTTATATTCAAGTTTACTGATGAAAAACCCATGAAGTATTAAACAACCAAGATTATATACGTTATTCATTGTGTAATATGTTTTTATTGTGGTCTTTTATAGTATCAATCAATCAATCAAGTTTTTGTAGAGCGCTTTTACACAGTGCACACAAAGCGCTTCACAGTCCACATCACAAATATCACATAAAAACATACACCAGAATCACAAATAAAACATTAAAATCACACAAAGATTATAAACACAATTATAAACAGTAAAATCATCAAAGATTAAAAACAATTTAAACATTAAAATACACTAAAAGAATAAACACATTAAAACTTTCAAAATTACACAAGAAGTAAAAATAAATAAACTATAATAAGATGACAGCAGTGCATTCGAAAATGCAGATAAAATCCTTCTGTTGTATGCACAGGCAAACAGAACAGTCTTTAACCTGGATTTGAACATTGACAGAGTAGACGCTCCCTACATTTTCAGGAGATTGTTCCACGTGGGTACGCCGAGCAGGATGGCAGCATAGTAGAGGAGCACCCGCCACCCACCAATATTTTGATGTTTATAGTGAGGTAAATCACGTTTCTTGGACTGATTACTAACTGATATTGTTCTGTGAACGTTTCACTACGTTTTGACCGAGTAATGACCACTTTGAAGATTTCTAAGGACACAGGGACGACGCGTATGTCCACGAGAAACATGCTAACGCTAGCTGCTAATGAAGAGCCCGAGGAGGAGAGCTTTCGGGGAAAAGTAACCCTTGAAACAGTTTTTGCTGAAATCACGAAAATGAGCGCAAAACTGACAGAAGTGGGCTCGGATGTTGTGTCTATCAAAGAGGTTGTCAGTGGTTTACAAGCACGAATGGGAGAAGCGGAGCTACGAATCTCTCAGATGGAAGACAAAATGGGGGGCCTTGAAACCGACAGCGACATTGCGGGGAAGAAGGTGAGCGAGCTGTGGGATCGTGTACAGGCGCTTGAAAACCACAGCAAAAGAAACAATGTACGTTTAGTTGGCCTCAAAGAAACCTACGGAACTGATGGTACGCTTGAGATGCGTGTTAAAAAAGTTTTGAGCGAAGGACTGGGCATTGTCCCCGAAGCGGAATTTGAGATTGAGCGACTGCACAGAGTCTCAGCTCCGGTGCCGAACGAGGGGCAGCCTCCCCGTGCTGTTCTGATCCGCTTTTTGAGGCAGTCCGCCCGGGAGAAAGTGCTGAGAGCGGCTGCGGTGAAGCGAGGGGTTACATGGGAAGGGAATAGGCTTTCGATATTCCCTGACGTAACGAAGGAACTGGCTGAGAAGAGGAAAACGTTTCTGGCAGCGAAGAAGGCACTACAGCAACGCAATGTGAAATACACTCTGGCCTTTCCTGCGACGTTGAGATTCACATGGAGGGGGAAAAACCAACGCTTCACACAAGCTGAGGAGGCTGAACGCTTCATCAACCGTCACAGCAACAACTAATACAAGAGGTACGGGACAATATCAGCGATACTGTTGTACAAGTGGACAGTGAGTAAATCTTTTTCGGGTGAGTGGGGGCTGACACGGGCTGTCGCCTAGCAACG